AAAGAATGAACAGATTTGGTCCACAGGGTTCTGAATTATGACTCTGGACAGACTGACGAATGGAGACACAAATTATAAGTAACAAGTCATGCATGGCACAGTCCCAGTTAGTTATCAAATTTAAGATAAATTATTTTGTTTATAGTAATATAGTTGAAATATAAACATGTCAGAAATATGGATCCAGAAGATGATGCTTGATTATGATGATTTTTTAACATTAAAATGATTCACATTTTGTATCCGATAATCAAACGAGTACTTTGGAACAGCATTATTTAAAACAAAATAGTCACCAGTCGTTCATTTTGAAAACATATATATATATGTATATATCTATAACATGATGTAAAACGAATATATAAAATTTAAACATAATCAGTCAAAGCATATCAGAGATATGGCTGCATTCATTGCATCCGAACGGGGACTGAAAACACCACAATGTGTGATGTAAACTTTGGTGTTCCTGAATGACACAAAATATGGAATGCCACTATTTTCTGAGAAACGCAGGAGACTCATTGAATTGTTTATTTGTTGATACAGTTAGGTTCATACTGTCAATTAAAGACAGAAAGGAGGTTTAGAAAACTTACCAGTATTATGGATTTCTTCTACAGGTGCAAATTCCACATCATCCGTCATTTCCAAAGATTCTGTGGTACTACCACTAGTGTTAGCATTGACTTGATGACATGCACTATCACTAGAGTCAGTGTTGACATGTGATGCACACTGGCTAGTATCTTCGTTAACTTGGCATTTACTGTTGCTAGTATCTGCGTTAACATGGCATTTACTGTTGCTAGTATCTGCGTTAACTTGGCATTTACTGTTGCTAGTATCTGCGTTAACTTGGCATGTACTGTGGCTACTATCTGCATTAACTTGGCATGTACTGTGGCTAGTATCTGCATTAACTTGGCATGTACTGAGGCTAGTATCTGCGTTAACTTGGCATGTACTGTTGCTAGTATCTGCGTTAACATGGCATTTACTGTTGCTAGTATCTGCGTTAACATGGCATTTACTGTTGCTAGTATCTGCGTTAACATGGCATTTACTGTTGCTAGTATCTGCGTTAACATGGCATTTACTGTTGCTAGTATCTGTGTTAACTTGGCATGTACTGTGGCTAGTATCTGCATTAACTTGGCATGCCCTGTGGCTAGATTCTGCGTTAAATTGGCATGTACTGCGGCTAGTTTCAGCATTCACTTGATTATTGTCTTTGTCTTGGTGTTCAACATGGCTAATATCAGCATTGACTTGACATACCCTACGAATAGTACGGTCTTGTTGTGGAGCATGGCTTGTATTAGCACTGTCTTCACATATTTCTTGTGATTGATTCACTGGAAGAGATAATAGACAAAATTAAATATAATGATAGATGCATAAATTGTAATTGAACTTTCAATACACACAATGGGGTTTAGGGCAAGATACAGAAATAGTAAAAAAGATTTAAAGTAAATATTTACACCAATAATTTTGACCATTACACAAGCTGTGAGAATAATTTGCCTCTCAGCATCAATATTACTTGTTATTGAATAATATTAATTACATCAACTTACATGGCATGGCATTGAAGGAGAGCTGTTTCATTTCTGTGGTATCTTTCGTTGGGGCTTTACCCCTTCTACTCCTGCGTAGTTTAATTGTTTTTTCCAGAGATGACTTCTTACTCTGCTCTTCCACATTTCTCAGTCTTTCCTCCCCGTTGTTAGAATCAATCACTTCAATTTGACATTCCTCACTCAGCTCAGAATCTGACTCCAGCATTGTGTGTTTTATAATATGATTGATTGCACCTTGATTTTCTGAAAACTGACTACATGTTGTCACAGCATTGACAGATCTTCTTTTTCTACTCCTTGATTCGCGATTAGTTTCAATCTCTTTCAGATCCATGGTGATATTCAAATTAGTATTGTCATTTTCATCGCTACTATCGTCCATTACCTCCCTTTCTCTCTGTACCGTCATCCCCCTATTTGAATGTCTAGTTGATTTCTTCTGCTGTAAATCTTTATTATTGTCGCATGATCTCAAAACTCGTTTCTCAGGAATGCCTTCTTCTCCATTCAACTCTTGCGATAATTCTAATGCCAATTCCCAATCACTTTTACCTGTTTTTTCCTCTTCTACTTTTTTCCTCTCATTTTCAGCTGATTTTTTTCTGAAATGTCTTTTACTATTACTGTAAGACTTAATGAACACTCTGCTTTTCTCTGTATCTTTTATACACAATTCCTCGGTAGCAGTCTGGGCAGCTGCTACATGCTTTGTACTGTTGTTTTTAGAAGAGCTTTTTTTATGGCTTTTCCTTGTTTGTCTCGTACATGGCTCATTCATATCATCTGTGATGTCAACAATAGAGTCTGACTCTCTGTAAATGTGCTTGTTGTCAGTTTCAATCACATTCATTATTTCTTCCACTTCCACAGCTGAATCAGTAGCAAGATCAGACTTGTCATCAAGTACTTTGGTTACTCTCACTGAATTAGTTGTTTGTGTAATTTGCCTACTAATAGTCCCATTTTCACAAGTTACTTCAGAATTATGGCTCCTGTCAACTGGGGCATCCATATTGAGATCTATTCCATGAGATGATGTCTCCGGAATGCACTTTTTACCCGGTTGTGCAGCATTATTTTTCACAACTACTGCGACACAATGTTTTTTTCTTGGTTGTTCACCACTAATGCTTTTTCCTCTTTTCGTCCCTACTTTATTTTGACCTTTTTTTTTAACGAATTTGACTTTTCCCTTCTTGGGCGTGCGCTGACTTGCAATAAACTCGTACGGATCTGAATCACATGTCAGCTTTGCATCATTAGATTGCGGAAGCAGTATAACATTTTCCTTTTCTATTTTATTTGGATCATTCTGGCAAGATGTAGCAGTAGAAGCAGTTGTAGAAAAATGATGACAAGTTTGAACATTACATGTACTATCCTGTTTAGGTTCATCTGTGTGTGACCCAGCTTGGTCTCCATTCAATGGCATTTTGTCAAGAATTAGTAACAGGTCTTTGGCACTGTTGTCTGTTAATTGCCTTGATTCAGTATTTGCGTTTCTTGTGTTCCTTGCTCTCCCTTTCTTTTTTAGTTGTTGCCTCGGAAATGAAGAGCTGTGTGAATACAAATATTGATAAAGAAACAA